CCGAAGCAATTCAATTAGCGATAATTTATTTGTAATAAGTCCTTATTACGATGTGGTATGTACCAATATTATAATTTTTTTTTAATATTTAAAAAGACCTTAGGATAAAGGATAAGATAGGATTATAATAAAGAGCCCATCTATACCAGATATATAATATTACATTGACATTAATATTACATTGTAATAATATTTTTACCCACAAATTTCCCACTTTCGACCCACTGTCAACCCGTCCTGCATCCTGATCCCCCAGTTCTTGTTGTCTGTGACAACAAGGAGACACATATTTATTTTCTTGTCCCATTTAAAAACTTTATTTATTGACGCTGATAGGAATCTAGTCAGCTATCTGTGCGTTTTAGCCCCACCGCCTGCTCCCTTTTACCACCATGACCACGCCCACCGCCCCCCAAATGGAGGCAGGCTTTATACCTGATTCTAAATTTGTACTTATATCTTTTTTTTGTTGTTGTTGTATTGTGGGTCGTTTCTTTTGCATGTTTGCGACTCATGCAATAAAATCAAAGACCAACTACACAGCCAAACACTTTGTAAAAGACAAACAAAAACCCGAAGATAAACACTGGCCGAAAAAGTGACCACAAAGCTCGAAAGGGGCGGGAATCGGGGGGAGCAAAGTGGGTTGGGCAGGCGTGTGAGTCTACAAATCCTCGATGAGTGAGGGGGATCGACAAAGGAGTTCACATTCATTGATGTCACCAATAAAGTGAAAGAGTGTCCTAACGCAAATAAATACGAGTACAGCAAACAATAGTCACTGCGAGAAAAGAAAGCAAAAACAAAACAGTAAAACATAAAATAAATATGGTTAATAATAGGAAAAATGGAAAAACAACTGTGTAAGTCCGAAAGAATATTGCTTTATTTATCATTATAATACTCGTAAAAATATTTCCTAAATTTCTGAAAATTAATTGAAATGTGTGTGCCCTTAAAAAACTTTTTTTTAGTATTATCGTTATATTTTTTTGTAAATATTTTCTAGTTTCTCAATTTTTTCATGGTGCACAACATAGGGAAGAGCGGATCTGGATATTGTCCAGCTGGTGGGGATTGTAGAGCCGTCATAATCTAAAAATCTTGCCGCCGGCCGGCCGGGCAAACAAACAAACAAACAAACGAACGGACCAACGAAAAGCTGTTTGGACTTTGCGCCCCATTCGAGAGCACAAATGACAAAAGGCCGGACGGTCGTGAGCCACAGCTCCAAAGACCCACCCATCGGAATATACATCCCCCTTTCCCCCTTCCCCATACCCCCTCTAAAACACCCACTCTCCGAAAACTCGGTGAAAACGACAATGCAATTTTCATTACGCACTTGCCAATATTAAGCCAAAGTTTAGCACTGTCTGGCCGCCCACCCATACAAGCAAACAGAACGGGCCGAAAACACAAAGCAACACTAAGAAAAACAGGGGGTTGTCAGGATATTTATATTGAATTTGGGAGAAGCGGAACAAATAGAATACAAATGGCAAAAATATTATAAATATTTACAGAAGGAGAATTTAAAAAAAATTATAAAAAAAATAATATTATATAAAAAAGAATATAAAATATTGTTACAAAAGCTTGTATTTGAAAAAATATTATAAAATTGTTGACTTTAACATTAATATCAAAGAATGTAGTCTGAAAGAGATTTTAATTCAGAACATATCAGCAATATCATTTAGTTTATAAACTTGTTTTCTAATCATCAGTGGCTGGTTCCCAATTTCTCCCAGTGTAGCCCCACACACATCGTCGTCATGTTGCGGTCGTGGGCTTTGTGGTTGTTGCTGCCACGCCTACTGCCAAGGTAATAAAGCAAAAGTTCTGATCCAGCTTGGGGTCCCTATCTTGCCGGCTCCTCTGAATCAAACCAAGGAGCCGATAAGCCGCCGACCAGCAGCAGAATCGGGTGTATATATAGAGGGGAATATGGAGGGGGAATTGGGGGGGGAGAATATAGGCGTGGATGTGGAAGTGGATCCGCATCAACAAAGGAAGCGGAAATGAACCGGCCAGCTGTCTCTATTTGCACGTGTGAGTGCGTAGGCGTTACTTTGTCTAGTCTTTCGGCTCAAAAGTAAGCTCACTTCTAATCACTGGCTCAACTTAATGTAGCCACTCAAAATAATGCACTACTTATAAAAAATAGGAAATAGTATGGTTTCATAAAAAGTTTTGACTCCAGGTAGAAGTCATTAATAATTATAATTTATTCAAACAGAGTTTTACAAATGGGTTTTTGTAGTTTCGTGATTTGTTATGCTTTCATCATAAATATTTCCAAACACTGCTCGAAAAATATGTAAAATCTTTACATATTCAGAACGAGCAGTTAAGTCTTGGAAAACAAGTCTTTAGTAATATAAAGTAGTTAAAGTAAAATAAACTTCTATGAGTGTAAAAGGATTAAAGGCATAACTTTACATTTAATCATTTTTTCGGTCCACCGATTAAATGTGAGCATCAAACTTGAGACCATATTCGAACGCACTCGTGAGAAACCGAATAATTAAGGCCTGTTCCGATACGGTTTCGACCGATGCCACGCCCCTACGAGCATACGCCCACCCGACCACACATGCCCCATCCAAGCTAATTATACGCGCCTCCAAATAAAAACAAACAAAAGCGCGTGGTCGACGATTATGAAGTGAAGTTGGGGGAACCGAAAGTGGAACGCTTATCAGAAAGGTGCAGGCAAAATGCAGAAAACATTGGAGTAGGCGCCCCAACCATCGGGGGAATATCGGAGGGAATATCGGAGGAATATCGGGGGATATACACATTGGAAGCTGGGGGGAATGGCATAATGAAGCCATCGTCATCGGCATGACCATCCGCACGGCGTAATTACGCGGCCCTCTTCGAAAATTGATGATTTTCATTAACGACAAGTTAATAACTTAGCCAACGCGAGAATGAGAGTTGGGGATTCGAGGCGTCTTTATTATCGATAGCAATCGGAAGGTAAACACAACGCCAAACACTCTGAAATTGGGGAACGGAAAGGGGAAAGGAGTATGTTCCCTCCCTTTTATTTAAAGGCCAGTATTAGGATAATTTAAACTTTAAAAATATTGATTCACATTTGCATGAATCGATGCCTACGCAAAGTCCATTAAAATACTATCTTACAAGCCAGAAGATAATTATCAGATCCTTGAAAAAGGAAATGAAACGGAATCCTTTGGTTTTAATGACATTAATAAAAGAAATCCATCCGGGACGTCATAAAAATGACAAAACATCGACCAAAAAATGGAAAATAAACTAATTATGCAGCTTGTTAGATATTTTTATAGCAAAATTAATGAGGTATTCCAAGTGTAAATCGAGTAAAAATTAGAAAACTTATGGGTTTAAAAGATTTGCGATGTGATCGCTTTTCTCAAAGTCCATTTTTGCAATTTGGAGAGGACGGGGGTCATAAAAAATGACACAAAAATTTAAAATAAACTAATGATTAATATTTGTGACTGCAAAAACTCGTTAGAAAATTGAGTACCACATATGTTTATTTTTCTTAATCGTTTTAGAAAGTGCAAATCAATAAGCCCAATTAACGAAGATTTTCTGAAGGAGTCGAAGTAAACTATCGATGACCAGAGATTCATTAACCAACTAACCTAAAACAAGTATTACTGCAATACGTTTTTTGTTTGTTGACAATGTCAACTTTTTTAAAGTTTATGAGTGGTCAAGACGGAAGGCAATAATGCGTGATCAGAAAAGCCGGTAATGCAATTGCAATTTTATAATTAACTTTTACTTAAAATAACATTTCAAATTATTTTCTTATTTTAATCGTTCTGAACTTATAAACCTAATTGGTTTATTTACTTTCTTGAATGTTGAATTTTCGCGTTGCAAAAATTCTAATATAAAAAAAAGAAACTTAAACAATAAGATTATTTTGTGTTATTTTTGAGATAAGGGCAATAAGAAGCGCTGTCAAAGATCTGTTTTGATTTGCTTTTGCTGTATGGGCCCGTTTGTGCGGCTAAAGTCAACAAAAACAACCGGCAGCAAACAGTGGCTATTTAGCAACAAACCGGCAACAAAATGTGTCGCCGAGCGGCAATAAAAATAAAATAATTGCAGCGCCAGCGGAGCAACAAATGTTGCGCTCTCACTGCGCAACTTGCGAAAGAGCGAAACAATGTGTCTGAGATAAAGATGCTCTCCCGCGTAATGGAGAGAGAAACCGTTGGCACGTTCTTTAACATTCTGCATTATCTTACACATTTATATAGAAGTAACGCTAACATTAAGAGAAGAAGTTAAAAACAAATAAAAAATAATAATAAATACCTAGATTTGGTAAGTTATTAATGTTCGATTATTCAACTATAACTGGATAACTATAACTGTGTTTATGTTTGTAAAGTGGCAAATTCAATATCAATTTATTTGTACATTCATACCTTTTAGCAATACTGAATTGCTATCCATATTGCTTGCCATTCCTTTACGCATTTTACAGTTACTTGAGATTCACCACATTAAAATTGTGAAAAAACCAATTATGTAAGTAGCAGAAGCCTTTGTTACAATTTTGTTTATAAATAACTCTCATTTAGAACACTAACTTAGTTGAAATCTTCCAAATCACTTGACTTCTTTCCTTCAAAAGTGCATTTGCATTGGAATTGGAATCACAGTGGAAAATGTTCCAGCAGCGCAGTTTGTGTTTCAGCAGCATCCAGCAACATTTGTGGTCCAGCAACACAGCAACATTTCTACAGCAACATATGATGCGCGGGCGGCGATCGAAACAGCATCACACTCACACACACGCACACGAGCAGAGACGACGGCGCACACGCACGTGCAGAGGCGAAAAACGAGCGAAAACGAAGGTGGTTGCGGTCTTTAGAGGGCTTAAATCTGTGCCTTTTGAACTGAAAGTAAGTATTGTAAACGGACTGATGGTCCGATGAAACAATATTTCCACTTATTCTACCAAGCGCACGTACAGAGGTAAAAAAAACGAGGCAGTCGTCTGTGGACAAGCCGAACGACTTGACGTACGAGCCGAACGGTAAAAGGCGAAGAAGAAACGCCGAACGACAAAGCGATTTTCGAGCGCGGTTTAAAACGCATGCGCAAACGGCTGCAAAAGCGGCGATTTCAGTTTTTTTGGAGTGATAAAAGTGATTTTGAAAACCATTCGAGACTTCAAAATTTGGATTTTTTGTTATGTGACTTGAATGTACTGCAAACAATTCAAACTAAAATTATTTGGGTGATTTTGAGTGCTTTCAAAACGATTGCACAGATTTAAAATCTCAAGACAATTTTAATTCTGAACCTAAGAGTTTTGAAATTAATCGAGAGGATTCCTAACAACTATTAAAGGATTTCGTTTTTTTTTTTTGAGTGGACTCAAGTGAATTTTTGTAAAACACCTTAAGACTTTAATATTTTTTCAAGTGAATTAAAACCCAAGATTTTGAAACACATAAGAACCGTTAATCGAGTGATTTGGATTTCGAAACCGCTCCTTTTGATCACAAAAAACGGTTGAACCCTTTAAAGATGTCTCCCCTGACATCGTATTGTGGGCTCCTGCTCCTGGGAATTTTGGGAATCCCCTTAGCACAGGGAATCCCCGATGACGTGTATCTCAAGATGTTCCCGCAACAGTCTCCGCCGGATGACCTCTGCTACACCAAGGCCCACGAGCCGCGTGTCTGCATTCCGGACTTTGTGAACGCCGCCTACGATGCCCCGGTTTTGGCCAGTTCCACCTGCGGAGCGAATGGTGTCCAGCGGTACTGCGAGTTCCAGGATCGCGAGCGGGAAATGTCCTGTCACACCTGCGATGCCAGCGATCCACTGCGCAGCTTTCCCGCTCGATCGCTGACCGATTTGAACAACTCCAATAATGTGACCTGCTGGCGAAGTGAACCGGTCACAGGAAGTGGGGACAATGTGACCTTGACCCTGTCGCTGGGCAAGAAGTTCGAGTTGACCTACGTGAGTTTGCAGCTGTGTCCGCATGCTCCGCGTCCCGATTCCATGGTGATCTACAAGAGCTCCGATCATGGACTCAGCTGGCAGCCCTTCCAGTTCTACAGCTCCCAGTGCCGCCGACTCTTCGGGCGTCCCGCTCGCCAATCGATTGGGCGCCACAACGAGCACGAAGCCCGCTGCAGTGACGTCACCAGACCGCTGTCCTCGAGGATTGCATTCAGCACACTGGAGGGAAGACCCTCGGCCCGGGATCTTGACTCATCGCCGGTTCTTCAAGATTGGGTCACGGCCACGGATATTCGGGTGGTGTTCCACCGATTGCAACGCCCCGATCCGCAGGTTCTACTTTCCTTGGAGGCGGGAGCAGCGGCGGACTTGGCCAGCGGCAAGTACAGCGTACCGGTGGCCAGTGGTCCGGCCAACAACAACATTGAGGGAAACTCTGGAGCGGAAACATCGATTGCCGGAGGATTGCATTACGCCATTTCCGACTTTTCGGTGGGCGGACGGTGCAAGTGCAATGGCCACGCCTCCAAGTGCTCCACGGACGGCAACGGGCAGCTGAACTGCGAGTGCAGCCACAATACCGCCGGACGGGACTGCGAGCGGTGCAAGCCCTTCCACTTCGATCGTCCTTGGGCGAGGGCCACCGCCAAGGAAACCAACGAATGCAAGGGTGAGTTCTCATTACTCAATTATCTATTTTAATTGTAAGGATTTGATAGGGATAACAAGGGAATACTAGATAATTTCAATCTTTTATATGAGTTCTGAAATTTGTATTTCATTTTCCCATTTATCTCATAAAGCAACATTTTAAATCTTACAAAATTATGCAGCAGGGAATTGAACGGGAATTGATTCGATTCAAATATGCTTCAAAATTTCTTATACATATTTAACTAATCTAAAATTGCATCCAGACCATTTTTAAATATTTATTCAAGCACTGTGTGTTTCAAGGGCGCATAAGATGGCTTCAAATAAATAATTTAACTCTTAGAAAAAAGCTATAAATAGAAACCAATTCCATTTAACCAATTTTCCTTTGTTTGTTTATAAAAAAAAGGAAGCAGAGACACTATATAAACAATTCTGTGGGGTAGCTGCAATATGTGTATATACCTTTTCTTTCTCAAAGAAAATGTCTTAAAAAAATGTGTTCTTAAGGTTATAATAACTACAATTATTTAAAATGTTTATATGTTTTTGGGTTGAGTATTTAAATTTTGAACATACCCCAGGGAAAACCTAAGATTACTCTTTGCTTTATTGGCCAATATTATTGAGAGGGCTTATGAAATCACTCCAGGGATCTTACCTGAGCCTCGTGCGCTGCTTTACCTAAACTTCTGCTGTGCGGAATACCCCGGTCTATAGATTTTCCCCTGGCCCGTTTTACCTAGGCCAAAGTCAACCAACTCCCCCCATGGAAAAGGCAAAAAACCCACCCAATAAAAGGGAAATTTCGATGCGAGATGCTACCTTCGTGGCGGAGTAACCCCCAAGGGCTCTTCCATGGCCATCCAGGGCAATCTATTGGGTAAACATATCGGAGCACAGAGTTAAAATAAGGAAATCGCTGGAGGTGGAGATGGATATGGAGATGGAGAGCAGGGTTGCAAGGCGCAGTGCGGATAAATGGGGAAGAAAAACGGGGGAGGCGACAACTCCATTAGAATTCAATTTTCATTTTCGAGCCAGTCGCGTGTGTTTAGTTTTCATCTTAACTTGCGACTCAAGATCGGGCGGGGGTTGCTCATTTTTCCTCACAGGGTACAGGATAAGCGAGATTCCTGAAAAGAGGAAGGGAAGGGGGAATTTTTGAAGGAAGGAACCTGAAGGCAAAACTGTTTGTGCTGCGGATTTGGCTTAGCCATAATTGAACAACTCGATGGACACGTGTAGAGTGTTAGGGGGAGTTTTTGTCCTTAGGTAAAGTGAGACCGAGACTGAGACCAAACCAAAACCAAGGCCGTTTGCCAATCAAGTAGCAACTCTTGGGCCAACCCTCGCCAACGAGGCGAAATCGAGACTTTACCTTTGGCCAGGCTAAACAAGCAATAAACAACAACAGCAACAACAACAACAGCAGCATGAGCTCAAACATTCAATCAACACACAATAGAGGACTTTTTGCCAGACGGAAAGGGCGATATATATATATGAAGAATCCTGGATAAACCCTCGCAATTAACCCTCTAAAAACTCGCTGAGCTCGAACAATAAGCGCGAATTTAAGCGAAATTAATTTGATAAGCAATTTCAACAAGAACGACCTCGCAATCCGACAATCAAACATTAAAACGAGAGCAGGGAAGGTTTTCGGTTTTCGGTTTTCAGTTTTCGATTCTAACGATTCTTACGATAGAACTGGGAATATTATGAGGGTTCTCTATGTGGCGAAAATATGTGAAATGAAAACCAAACAGAGTGGGAGATTGTTTTTTTTGTTGTTGTTGTTGGCTTTCTTCAAAGGTTTTGAACTTTTAATAACAATTTTATTAAATTCCTGGTGAGTGGAGATTTCCTTAAAAAGTTATAGCTACTACATTCACATTTTTGTTTAGAGTTTTTAGAAGTTAAATTTGGGGTCCATATATTTTCAAATAAAATTTTTTAGAGATTCCTAGCAATTTATGGTTTCTTTTATAAATTTATTTTTAATAAAAAATTGATATACATACAAATTATATGAACCTTAAAATTATTTAAGCCATGTATTATATTTCCATTTTGAATTGGTTCACATCCTTGAGTAAATCCTTAGTTAATAAACTCCAAGACCAAGTAAACTCTTATCATAGTCGACGAAAATCATCTAAATCACTGTCGTATCTAAACTGTAACCTATTTTTCATTAGGCCATCCTCATTATTAGCAGATCCCGCACCTCCTCCCGCCAAATACTTATTCCCCAGGGCGAGGACATCATTCCCTGCTTCAATGTGTGTTCCTGGCACTTGATGAAAGTGTCCTTCGTGGTCATCACGTGCCATAACATTGCAATTTTTTGTGATCCAGTTCGGTGGCAAGGGGGGCTTCAAGGGGAGGGAAATGGGGGAATCTGTTGGGTAGATGGATATGCAGGCAGGACCTTTAGTATTGTTTAGTGCATAAATCACAGTCACACCAGCGAAGCAGCAGCAGCAGCAGCAGGACGAACAAATTTCGGGGCGGGAAAATGGGAAGGCAGACGCTCTTATCAGAGGATGGCACGTGTGCCAGACTTCCACGCCCGACCACGCCCCCATTTGCTGGGTTTATTAGGGTTGCAAACTGCAAGCCCTCACCCCTCACCCCTCACCCCTTAGGAATGTCCAAACTCAAAAGGTACCGCGCGCATATGTTGCATGTTTATGGACAAACGAAATTAACGTTGCCATCGTCGCTTTTGACGTTCAATGTGACCTCAAACAACGGCTACAAAAACAACCAACAGGCAGCAATTACAGACCAAAAACAGCAATGGCAACAACAACAATAACAACAGAAACAGAAACAACAACCACAATGAAGGGGAAACGGAAAATGTCCAGGCCGGAAAATATTTCCGCCGTTCGATGTGTGAAAAGAAAAAACCACAGAGAATTCGGGAAAAACGGAACATATGCGAGCAGATTGCATTCGAAATTCGAATCGAATCAAACGAAATGGCCATGGAAATCGAATCGTATCGAATCGAAAGGAATTATATGGAAGGGCGGTAGATATTATCTCCTAACTAACTGCAAAACGATTTAACAGGCGTTTTAATGAGAAGCGGTCAATTTCCACGCAGGACTCAAATCAGGATATTCATAAATTTGTACAGCAGATGGAAGGATTTCGAAGGCAACATACATAATTATAAGCAGGAGTTTAATGTATGTGGAATCTTTATGGGAAAACTATGAGCTATCCTGGTACTTAATCTATCAACATTTCATTAAAAGTTCGCATAAACTCTTCTAAAATACGGCCTTCACTAAACACATTTTAAATTTTAATAGCAATAGCTTAATGCACACAACATAATTATAAACAATTCTCTACCGAAATATATCATTATATCCATATTGATTGGCATCCAAAAAGCTATAAACAATATAAGATACATATGTTTTCAGTCAAACATTATGATGAAGAGAATTTAAAGGCGGAAGTTTCTTTTCCCATATCCGATGACCGAAATAATGAGATTTGAATAGAACAACAAATAATAAAGCAATCTTGGGTTTACAAAACCGGGGCATTAAATCGCTGATATTTCGGGGTGCGAATTACGAAAGCATCTCCAAAAATCGTGATTAATGCACAGATGCAATCCCATTATTTCACCCTGCGCCGGAAGCCATTCATCCTCAACATTCTTTTACCATAAATTGCCAAACTCCCAACTCGGAGCATAAATTGCGTTAGATTTATAGGTGTCGAGAACAAAGGAGCGCTGTGCACACATATATTTTTAATGAGCGAGAAGATGGGGAGCCGCACTTTGACCCGCACTTAACCCCTCGATCATAAGCCAACTGCAGTTTATCACACCTAAGACGAGTCTAAGACCAAGATCCGGATACGGATCCACAACCAAACAGCTTTATGCTGCACAATATACTAGTAGTATATATATAGTATAAAGATATATATGCAAAATGCACGGGGCATTGGGGAGTCATAAAGAGCGGAAAATAGAGAGACCGAGGTGAATTTGAACAGAAAACAAACAAACTCGAGAGATGTGGCTAAAATTAACGTTGTCGGCGCGCAATAAATAAATTTAAATCCGTTAAAACGTTTGGCAAATCAAGACATTACTCATACGCCGTGTTGTTGCCGCAACAGAAATAGTTCCACTCGCTGTGCGTGCAACCCCCTCCATTTGGCATCCCATCTGATGGACAGACGGCTCTCAAATGCCTTTAGTTTGGTGATAAATGTGCCGGGGCTTAGGAAAATGCCGCGCAAATTAGCCAAACAATTTGTCCAACCGAAATCGAATGGAATCATGATGATTATATGTCAGCCAAGTCGGCGGAAGCCAAGTGTATCGCAAGGTCACCAGAACTAGCCAACTAAAAGCTTGTTTTTCTGATTAACAAGGTGTTTTCAAAGCACATATTCATACTCTTTAATGAGTTTGCCTTCATTAGAATGGATTTAGATTTAAAGAGGCAGAGGAAGTGATTTTCGAACTTATCACATAAGCCATAAATCATAAATCAAACTGATAGGGGAATCCAAATGGGTAATAAATCTGAATCTTAGCTTCTCATAATTTGCCTTATATTTGGTCCAAGTTGGGGTTGGGGTTTCGTGAATATATTTCATCTTTTTGGCCTCATCACCTTTGCCTTGTGAATGCATTTCCCCATCAGTCAGTTTTAGTTGGTTTTACCAGATTTTTTCCTTGTCATTTTCCGGGCTTGTCTTTTTTCCCCATCCCCTTAATTTTTTTTTTTGTTTTTGGTTTCTCCTGGACATTGATTCGAAATTGCATTGGCATGTCCTCAAGTTATTTGCAGAGTCCTTTGAGGGGAGGAAAGCGGGGAATCGGGGAATAGGGCTTTGTTTGGCTGTGATTCCGCTGCTTTGTGTGTGAATGTCCTGTGGCTATAATTTCGCACAGCATTCCCTGCTCGCCGCCTTATGTCAGTTTTCATCAGTAACATTTCATGAATTTTCTTCCTTTTTTTT